ACATAACATGAACTAAAATTAAACTTAACATGAACTATTATTAGACATAACTTGAACTGAAATTAGACTTAACATGAACTATTATTAGACTTAACATGAACTAAAATTAGACCTAACATGAACTATTATTAGACCTAACATGAAATTATACCTAACATGAAATTATACCTAACATGAACTCTAAATAGACCTAACATGAAATTAGACCTTACATGAACTCTAAATAGACCTAACATGAAAGAATATAGTAGATAAGAGTATTTTGGAGGTTTGTACTTTTTATCATCTCTCTATGCTTAGTTGGCGGGTAATAAGTGCTAAAAGAGGGCTGCAGCACATGATGTGATACTTCTTGGGGCTGAATCACATGGGAAAAAATGAAAGAGCTGCAACACATGAAAATATTGCTTTTGGGGCATTGACACAATTTTCCCAAATTTTTAAGAGACTTGCACATGATAAAAATTAATAATCATATCCCTCAAGTAAAAGCATGGTGTAAATAAACTTTAGAGCAAACTCAAAGTGATACAGTTGAAAATGAGTTGTAGAGCTGAAATTACCAACTTGGGAATATAATTGATAATTTTCTATTATTTGCAGGTCACATGGTAAATTTTTAAGGGAATATTCCGACATTAATGATAATATATAGTGACATTTAACTAATAGAAGGTGTTAATTGCTACCGTAAAACATAATAAGAGACTTAAATGTCAAGGGAAAAAGACAGGATATGTAAGTCTAGAGTCATGCTAACTATAAAGTGTGTACGTGCTTATGCTAGTTAATGTCTAATTTGAAATCGTAAAGCATACATAAAGATTTTTTTATTGAGAGTATTTTGTACGCGTGGCTTCGTGTATTTTATAAAATCAAATTCATACGGTTGCCTTTCAAGAGAGTCAAACCTAAGACATTGAAGTATTACTCAAAAACAACAAATCACATCGACTAGACCCTCTTGAATTATATGAATTATGAGTTTTTTCGATATTAGTCCCTTAAATCTCTAGTAACTTGATATTAGTCCCTTAAATATGTGTACTTTCATATTAGTCCCTTAAAATGCTTAAACATATTGATAAGACTCCCCGAAGTTAGTTGGGGTTATAAATACCATAGATTATTTTGTTATGTATAGCTTTTGTAGGGAATAGACAGTTGTACTCTCTCCCCTCTAGAACCCAAACCCACAAAAACGTTAAGACACCCAAACCGAACCCACTACCTATTTCATCTTCTCAAACAGTCTGCTTACGATAAACCCATCCTTTCCAATGGCTCTTTTTCATTTTTGAGTGGGAATTAGAGAGACGGAGATTATTCCTTCTCTCCAACGTCTCCCTCTCAAACAAGCAATCAAATACAAGTAATTTCCTAGCAAAAAGGGGGGGAAAATCCTATCAATGCAACCTCAAAACCCTGACGACGATCTCGAACAAGAATCATGGTTGCCATCAATAACTGAACCAATACCTACCAACCTCCAGAAGGAACCATCTTTCTCCCGCTGATGCAGCGACAACGACGCCTCCTCCTCTTTATCCTTCGACAGGATATTGATCGCCAACTCCTCCTCCGCTGTCGTTGACGTCGAGGAGTTCAAGCTTTCATTGCTTCCCATGCTCGTCGATGCCTCCAACGGGAGAAATATGGCCCCTTTTCTTCTGAAGAGAGTGGGAAATGGAGAGATAGAGAGAGAAAGAGGGGGAAATTAGTTTGGTGGGTGTATTCAATGTGTGTGGGGGGTATTTTAGTAACTGGATATCCTTGGTTACTGTAAACCAAACTAGAGTTAGGGGATTTTGACAGAAATTCTAACAGAGGGACTCTTATCAATATATTTAAGCAATTTGAGGAACTAATATCAAAATTTGCATATCTAAGGGACTACTATCAAATATCTAGAGATTTAAGGGACTGATATCGAAAAAGCCCATGAATTACATATAGTATTGAATTAGGAGTAGAAAATTGTTGATATGTAATTGACAGGCTCTGCTAAGGGTATGTTTGGTTATTTCCTAAAAACCAAGAAATGGAAATGAAAAAGTGGAAATCCCAAAAAGTACAATTTCATCCATTTCCATCCCTAAAACTCACCCACAACATCCAATAAAATATTATTTTTATCCAACAACTCATCCACAATATCTAATAAAAAAAATATTTTCATCCAATAACTCATCCACCACATCTAATAAAATATTATTTTTACTCAACAACTCATTCACTACATCTAATAAAATATTATTTTCATCCACAACATCATTCAACTCATCTCATCTCATCATTTCAAATCACTCACATCATCCAATAAGATGGTGACAACTCATCTCATCTCATTAATATTTTATTTCTATCCATTTCCTCCCAAAAGGCTTGGAAAACGATTTTCTTAACGGCTTGTTTGGATTGAGGGGAATGAGGGTGAAGGGAAGTTAGGGGAACCATTCACCTCCATTCACCTTGTTTGGGAACACTTAGGAGGTGAAGTTAATTCACCTCCATTCACCTTGGTTCACCCCCTAATAGTATAAAAATTGTTACCCCCCAAATTGGGGTGTAACCAAGGGGAAGGGAACTCCCTTCCCTTCCCTTCCCAGTTAGGACCAAAGCCAAAATCTCCTCTCGATTCGTTCCATGAACGAGAGGTCCACAAATTGAATGATCAAACCTTTAAACAGTTAGGATCATCTCGCTGCCTACTTGGTCAAACCTTTAAACAGTTAGGACCAAAATCAAAATCCCCTCTCGATTCGTCCCATGAACGAGAGGTCCATAAATTGAACGATGAAACCTTTAAACAGTTAGGATCGTCTCAGAACTCCCTACTTGGTCAAACCTTTAAACAGTTAGGACCAAAGCCAAAATCCCCTCTCGATTCGTTCTATGAACGATTGGGGTGTAACCAAGGGGAAGGGAATTCCCTTCCCTTCCCTTCCTTTCCCTTCCCTTCCCTTCACTTAACTTCCCTCCACCCCCTACGAATCCAAACAGGCCCTAAGTGTGGTTCATATCATTCAATAATATAATGACAACTCATTCTCATCTCATCTATTTTCTTTTTTTTAAGAATGAACCAAACAAAAGAAAACAACCTATTACAAGAAGTAAATTTCTTATAATTCATTTCCTTATTTTCGCCAACCAAATAACATCAAAACAAATTTTCTTAAAAAATCACTCACATCATCCAATAATAAGGTGACAACTAACATCATCTCATCTCCAAATATTTGATTTCCTTCTTTTTAGCCAACCAAACATTCCCAAAATAAATTTTCTTAAAAATAGTTTTCCATTTATTTGATTTCCCTCTTTTTTTAGGCAAACAAACAGCCCCTGATGAGAGTGGGAAATAGAGAGACGGAGAGAGAAAGAGGGGGAAATTAGTTTGGTGGGTGTATTCAATGTGTGTGGGGGGTATTTTAGTAACTGGATATCCTTGATACTTGGTTACTGCAAACCAAACCAGAGTTAGGGGATCTTGACAGAAATTCTAACAGAGGGACTCTTATCAATATATTTAAACAATTTGAGGGACTAATATCAAAATATGCTTATCTAAGGAACTACTATCAAATTACTAGAGATTTAAGGGACTGATATCGAAAAAGCCCATTAATTACATATAGTATTGAATTAGGAGTAGAAAATTGTTGATATGTAATTGATGGGCTCTGCTAGGGGTGAGCACGGTTCGGTTCGGGTCGGTTTTTACCAAAATTTGAACAACCGAACCGAACCACCTATAATTCAAAACCGAACCGAACCGTTGCAAATCGGTTCGGTACGGTTCGGTTCGGTTTGTTCGGTTCTAACTTTATCAAGTATAACTTCACTTCAATTTATCTTTTATATATTATTATTACCCTATGCCAGCATGTATTTGTTTTTTAACTTCACTGTAAACGCGAACGAGTTTGAAAGTTTTGGAAATATATTCGGTCGGTTCGGGTCGGTTCGGTTTGAAAAGTTATCAACCCGACCCGAACCGCCTTACTCTTAAAACCGCTTTTTTCGGGTCGGTTCGGATCGGTTCGGTCGGTTTTTTCGGTTTGAACCGAACCATGCTCAGCCCTAGGCTCTGCGAATAGCAATACTTTGATGGTGGGGCTGCTCACTGCTGTCTGCTGAGGAGACCATCGAGGAAGACGTGTTTCGTGCTAATGCAAAAGATACCATGTGTGATTTGATTTGAATTGTCCATGTTAGTAGATGCGAAGTGGACAGAGTACACAAATATTGCATGTGGAGTACACAGCATAGTAACTCTTTTTCCTTAAAAAAAAAAACATCTTAGTACTCTAAGTACAAGATTTGCATACGCGAGTAAGCATTAAAAAAATAAGAGCTACCCACGTTTTAGAGGTTGGCCCCTTGACATCTTCCATAATATTTGTGCCTCAAATGATTGAAATTGATGATAAGACCCTCAAATCACAAGGGCACTCACAACTTTGCCACTTGTTAATTTTTCAGTTAAAATTTTCAAGGACTGAACAAAATACGCTCGGTTACTAAAATACCCTCCAATGGTCTCTTTGTGAGAGAAGTAGACCATTGAAAAATATGAGGGGCTGTTTGAATTGGTTTTTTGGATGGGTAAAAGGGGGGAAAGCTGTCAAAAATGTCAGCTTTTTGGCAGTTTTCCCCTAAAATCGCCTCTTATAGAGACGATTTTGGAGAGAAGCTGTCAAAAAGCTGATATTTTTGGCTGCTTTCCCACCTTTTACCCATCCAAAAACTGGAAACAAACGAGACCTGAGAGCCGGATTAGGGGAAGTTCTTAATTACCACCACCAGAGGAGGAGGAGAAGAAGAAGATGATGTAAGCTTTAAGTTTTTACTTTGCGGTTTTGAGTTTAAGCCCATCAAAGAAACACGTAGTTACACAGAACTGAGACGTATTACGGGGACTTCAGCGCGAAAGGTTAGAATTGAAGGAATGCTTTCCTCAAATAATTGATGTAACTTAACGAGGGACACCAAAACTGCAAGCACTCTAATGATTTTGTGGACTAATTCCAGATTATGAAAGATCGAGGGGCCGATACTGAAAAACGATCTAAAAAGTAAATTACATTAACATAAAGCACCATCCACGTGGACCATCACCAGCCATTAATTTCCTCCAAGATCCGAAGGAAAATACTATTCTCTCTCCTCACTCTCCCTTCCCGGACCTTTCCGCTTCCAGCTTCACATGGCAAGGCTCCCTTTTTTATCAATTAATAATAATAATAATTCCCCCAACCCTGCAGGAGCAAAGGCCTTCTCTCCAAAAACTCCCATAATAACAAGCAAGCGCCAAATCTCTCTCTGCTCCTCCTCCCCTTCATGCGATCTCAATCTGGGCCTCCCCCAACAGAACCACCCATCCCTTGAAATCTCTCCCCAGTCCGCCCTTTTCCCGCCTCCGCTCCCTCCGCTCCCTGCTGGGCTCCGTCAAGAACCTCTAATGGATTCTTCGTCGGGGGCGAATGGGAAGCTGTTGTCGAAGGAGTTGGATGTTGCTGTGAGAGTTGTGCAGATGGCCTGCTCTCTGTGTCAGAGGGTCCAAGATGGGCTTGTTGGGAGAAAAGGGGATCAGATCAAATCCAAGGATGACGATTCTCCTGTTACGGTTGCAGGTTTTTGAGTCTTTCCCCTAAATACCCATTACCCATTTGTCATTTTTTTTTGTTTTGTTTAATTTGCCGCCTCGTTATTTGTTTGTTTGCAAAATGGGGCTATTGATGTTGATGGGGGTTGATGGGGAGTATATAAAATGGTCTTATTGCTGTTAGGTGGTTGGTTCATTTGGGGCTGTGATAACTTGGAGGCACATTTGATTCATCATAAAGTAACTTTGAGGGAATGGTCATAAATATGACTAAAAACTGAGGCAAAAGTAACCTGTTTAATTAATTCATTAGACAAAATAGGGAAGGATCATAAATAATCTAGGTCCATTTTGGCAAAAAAAAAAAAACACATTAAAAAAAAACAAACAAACAGACGGACGCGCACACACACACATTTAACTCCTTTAATGATAAATTCCGAATGATTTACATAGTTCAGGAGGGTTTAGTGAAATCACCCAATGATATGAGTCTATGACAAGTGAATTTAGTCCTCACCTTTTGTCTTCAATGCTTCTTTGAATATTTCTGCAAGATATTCATATTTTATTGGACAGAGGTTGACTGGATAATGTTTTTTTGAGAATGTTTCCTGCATACTTGTATTCTATTAGAATGAAGGCAGACTATATCATGATCCTATACATTTAAGAGGCGGCTGATTCATAAATGTAGACCTAGTTTCTTTATTCAAACCCAATGGAATTGTATATTCCTATGTTTCCTTCAGTCGGTAAAGTTTGGACACTGCCATTTTCCTTGACGCTCATTCTGTCAATATCAATTTAAAGTTTATTTTTAGTGGTTTCCTTTAGTTATTTTTAGTGCCAACCTCCATGTGACAGTATTGGAACTGAGTGGTTTACAATGACTGGACAAATGCTTTTCCTTTATTAGACTTGTGGATTTGTTGTTTATTTACATTTGATTGCGAAGTTAGTTCATTTCTCATGCATATGAATTTCTCTGAAAAATATTAACGTGTTCAGGATTTCGATATTGGCCTTTAAGTCTCACAACAAAAAAAATTTAAAATTTATGTGACCTAAAATCTGGCTATGGAATTGCTCATTAGAGCTTTAAGTAGGAAGTTAAATTCAAGAGCGCTTAAATTAGCTCTTGAATGCTTCATGTTTCACTAGGAAAGTGCTAGAGTAGAAACAAGGAATTGATGGGTCTGATGAAATCGGAAGAACAGATGATTATGAATGTGAAGAAATAGAGAATACATTTTACAGAAAAAGTTGGAAGGTTTTTATATTTTCAATAGACCTAAAGCAGCTGGCCTCCATTATTTCTACTAGTACTCCCAGCACAGGCGATGCATGCATGACAAAATACATATTTGTGCAAAAAAATTATTAGCAACTACTTAATAATTTACGATAGAAAATAATTCGTGAACATACCAAATTCATTCAACATATATTCCTTGCTTGATATGTATGTTGTTCAACACACCAATTGATGACAAACATAGCAAAGTAATTTGTGAATGTACCAAATTCATTCAACATATATTCCTTGCTTGATATGTATGTTATTCAACATACCAATTGATGACAAACATACCAAATTATGTGCACATGTGTGACATTATTTGCAAAAACAATATTCATAAAACTTTAATGCTTGTTGTTAATATAAATTGGTTTGTAATAAATTATTACAAAGAGTGATATAAATGTACTAATTCACAAATTCATAGTGTTACATGGATTACAGTGAATTGTAGTTGTAGATGCAGCTTAGATTGTTCATAATAGAAAGGCTACTTCTCAAATGCAATTCTCAGCAATTTGGGTAAAACACCAATGTATATTAACGTAAAAAACTATTTAACACAAAAGCAAGGTTCTTACTGCAAAAATAATCTTTTTAGAAGTGAATAGTTGCTTGGATCTCGTCCACGCCATACCTACAAAATAATCTTTTTGAAAGTGAATAGTTGCATTGATCTCGTCCACACCATTCGTGGTTATTGCTTGCATCTTTGGCAGAGGCCAGGACATTCTTTGCTGCTTGCATCCTTTGAATTAAATGCTTTTATCTTTCCTTAATATTTGCTTTTCAAAATTTAGGCTTCTGTTAGTAATATATAATAATACTCCCAGTGCATGCTATATGTACATGACACAATACACATTTGTGCATACAAAATATTAAAAACCTAATAGTACAATCGAAAATCGATAAAAGAATTTGAGATTATTATAAATTAATGAAGTAATTTTGGTAATTTTACACCCCTTTACATATTGACATTATCGAGCGACAAAAAATTATCACAACTATACTCTTGGGCCATGTTTGGATTAGGGAGTTATTTTGTCCTGGGACTAATTTAACTCATTATAGTCCTAGGTATAATAATCCATGGGACTATCTATAGTGAGTTAAATTTAATAATTTGTTTGGCTCAATTTGTCATTAACACCTTCTATACGTATCTCATGTTTGAAAACTTGTCATTATAAAGGGGGTATAGGATTACAAAGTAAAAGTAGACGTTAAAAATACCCTTCTTCCTACCAACAGTGAATTATGCTTTTTAATTATGTAATAAGTAAAGTAATCTGGAGTTCGAGTATCTGATATTCTTCACAAGTGTGTCAGATATAATTTAAGAAGCAATAGTATTTAAAACTTAAAAGAGCACTGTCATAACTTAAAAAATGTAGCATGAAGAATAATCACATGTACGCATCAAAATGCAACTGTCTAATGAAAAATGATCATGTGTACCTATAATAAGAAAATATAATCACCAAATACACATGTACCCATCATTAGAAAACATAATTTCTTACTTTTAAAAAAGAAAATATAATATCCAACATTCATGTCCATAAAGATATGACCAATGATCAAAATACATATTTAACTCTAATAAACAAGTCCTGTCAAAGTATGCTAAACAAGTAAACAAAATAGTAACAAACATAAAAATTATTTGATGATGTCTATATCAATACCATAATACCTTAATTTTCCTTCTGAATCAACCTCTTCACCCACCTATACCTTCTCTCATCAGGTAGACTAAAGAACACATCTAACTGGCTGGCACTCTTAGTGATGAGGGTTGCACCTATCTCTTGCTCATCGTCTGTCATTCCCCCAATCTTCTTAACAGCTCCAAAGACCTCTTTCCTAGATGCCTTCAAGTCTTATTTATAGCCTAGCTTTTGTGCTAAAATCTCGGTTGATGACACCAACACTGAGATATTTGCATTCATTTTTTCAACCATTTGCAAGAAAGACATTCTTTGAACTTTAACTTTTCTCAGAGGTATTGGCCTTCTGCTCGGGGGGCTGATTGGTTGGAGTTGATACACTAGAAGCAATTGGCTAAATACAACGGTCTGGGCCGAGTAGGATATCTTCTAATCTGCTCAAAGTCACTGCAATCACTAGGAGCAATTGGCTGAATACAACGGTCTGGGTCGAATAGGATATCTTCTAATCTGCTCAAAGTCACTGTCATCCCCAGTTATTTTACAATCCGAGCTCTCCTTATTGGTTCCAACTGCAGCTTGCTCCTTAGCTATCTCTCCCATTGAATGACCAGGTGACTGAGCAAACACTCCGGTAAATTTATCCTCGCCAAATATGACTAGCTAGTCATCATAATGTGGCAAGGATTTATTCCTCCACTTGGCCAACTCTGAGTCTTTCTGCATTTCATTCGAACAAAAATATCACCAAGCATAATAGACATATATAAATAATAATTGAACTATAAATGAGAAGACAATACCTTACAGTACTCAGTCCAAACAGACTCATCGACTATGTCTAACATCTTATTGGTTGCATTCTAACCAATGCCACTTGTGGAGAGTGCAGTAAATGTAGCTTTAAACATCCTCTTCCATATCTTTATCTTTGAATCAATATGTGGTGTGGCTCTAAAGTCTGTGCCTGGTAGTCTCCTCAACATGTAATTTTCAAGTGCTTGGATATAGCCATTCTTGAATGATCCTAACTCTTACTTCAACCCATCAGTTATAATGTTGTAGTATGCATTGATGAGAGCATGTTCCTCATTCTTACTCCAAGCTCTTCTCTGCCCTTTGCTCCTAACCTTTGACTAGGGTTATGACTTGAGTATGGTATATCTTCCATTCAACCTACAAGGTAGTGTTAGGCTAGCAACCATAAGTATAAAAGTCATTCAATTCAGTTTATATACAAAGCATATTCATAATAGTTTAGTCATTCTAAACTTTACTGTATCACATTGTAATAAAACATTATCAGCTTATATATTTGTCATAATGCATATATATTGCATAAATAACAAGTCAACGGTACTCTACCATTATCATTGTCAATATTATTAATTTGAATTACTAGATTATTCACAAACTTGCTTTAAAAGTAAGCTTCATAATTTGATGATCCATTGTGGTAAAGAAACTTTTAACCTTTATGTAATAAGAAATGGTACACTGCTCATAAAAAATTCATAAAAGGCCCAAAGGATTAATGTTACATTTTTAAAAATTAAATGACATCAATCAAATAAAAATTAATTTTGTAATATTTTACTCAAATCAACAAGTCACTTCGCATTTTCCTGAAGTGGTAATCCCCTACTTGCCCTCCACTAATTGAACATAGTGACTGTCATTTGCTCTCTCTTAGTAGTCCACTGATCAGAAGTCTCCATAACATCAATATGCCTTCCTTCATTAGGTGGCGTTGGTTGTTCATTGTTGATATCCAAGTCATTCTGTGCATCCATGGGATCCACTACCATCTCTCTCCTTATTATATTATGTAAGAGACAACAAGCAGTGATAATTCTTGACTGTATCTTGATGAGATAAAAGGCAAGGCTCCTAAGGACAGACCACCTAAGCTTGAGTATGCTGAAATATCTCTCAATCATATTCCTTACACTTGAATGCTTCATGTTCAAGAACTCTTGAGGATTTGCAGGAAGTCACCTTCTCTCCATGTCACAAGATGATACCTATGACCCCTATATTGGGCTAAAA